TACCATGATGCCATTTGTCATCCAGAATGGCAACATGCCATGGTTGAGGAGATTGCTGCTCTAGAGCGCACTAGCACTTGGGATCTTGTTCCTCTTCCTTCTCATGATCATCCCATCACGTGTAAGTGGGTTTATAAGATTAAGACTCATCTCCGATGGCTCTCTCGATGCTATAAGGCCGTCTTATTGCTCGTGGCTTTCTTTCCAGCAGAGCATGGTCGCGACTATGACGAGACCTTTGCTCCTATGGCTCGTGATGACCTCGCGACTCTCCTTCTTTGTGGCCTCTGTTAGGTGCTCGGTCCATCTCTCAACTTGATGTCAAAAATGCCTTTCTTAACGGTGAACTCCATGAGGAGGTCTACATGCGACCACCTCCTGGGTATCTTGTTCCTGATGGCATCGTTTGTCGTCTTCGCCACTCTCTTTATGGTGCGAAACAAGCTCCTCGCGCTTGGTTTCAGCCGCTTTTCCTCCTGTGATCGTGGGTCATTGTTTTTTTCTCCGAGTGCTCATGACCTGCCTTGTTTGTTCATAATTCATCTCGTGGCGCACTCTTCTTCTTCTTTATGTTGATGATATGATCATCACCGGTGATGATTCTGAGTATATTGCATTTGTGAAGGCACGTCTCGGTGAAAGCGATTTCTCATGTCCGATCTTGGCCCTCTTCGTTACTTTCTTGGGATTGAGGTCTCTTCCACCTCTAATGGCATTTATCTGTCCCAAGAAAAGTACATTCAAGATCTTCTTGATCGTTCTTCCCTCACTGATCATCGCCTTGTTGAGACTCCCATAGAGCTTAATCTTCATCTTCGCTGGTGATGGTGAACCTCTCACGATCCCACTTGATATCATCATATTGTTGGGAGTCTTGTCTATTTGGGTGTGACTCGTCTCGACATTTCATATGTTGTGCATATTCTTAGTCGATTTGTTTCGCTCCTACTCACCTCCACTATAGTCATCTTCTTCGTGTCTTGCGTTAACCCGTGGGACCCGATGCTCGCAGAGGTTACTTCCAAGCCTTCATCGACTACTTGGGCTAGGACTTTGATCGTGCTTTCTTTCACCTTTGTGTTTTTTCTCGGTGGTTCTCTCATTGCTTGGAAGACTAAGAAGCTCTCTTTTCTCGAGTGCAAAGGCCGAGTGAATAGCGAGCTATGGCCCTTCTGACAATGAAGGTTACTTGGTTACTTGAGGATTTTGGTGTTTCAGTTTCTTTGCCAACTCCTCTCTTGTCTGACAGTACCGGTGCATTAAGCATAGCTCGTGATCCGATGAAGCATGACCTCACCAAGCATATCGGTGTTGATGCGTCTTACACCCGGGCACAAGTGCAGGATGATATCATTACTCTTCGCTATGTGCCTTCGGAGCTTCAGTTGGCTGACTTCTTCACAAAGGCACAGACAAGAGCTCAACATCGTTTTCTTCTCTCCAAACTCAGTTTTCGTGATCCACCCTGAGTTTGAGGGGGGTGTTAGATATAGATGTATATGTGTCTGTGTACTTTCCTCTTTGTGTAAGGGCTTCTATGCATATATGCCCATGTACATGTTTGGGCTGAAGCCTACCGAATGGATAGAGTTCATTCTCTCCTAACAGTGACCACCAGTTACCAGTTCAGGGCCTAGGTCTGGGAAATTTTAATGGGGCTTTTGAATCCTAAATTTATCCAAGAAAATCAACTTTGCAAGTTATTGTTCCAGAAACATTACAGTCACTTCCCCTGTCCAAACACATAAATCCTCAACAATGTTTACAAGGCTGTCCAAATATCATTTAAAAAAACCTTTGTTCTCTAGATTTCGACATAACAGGTAGATGAAACTTGAAAGCAGTATTTTTGGGGCCATAACAGAAAATGTTGATTAGTAATGAACTAAATTCTGTAGCACAGCCCAAAACCACGAATTGCCCATAGAACACATTACGCTATGATTTATGACACGAAAACACAATAAAGATAGGCATCTTGCAATTACTTTGCGCAATATTTTGGCCATCTCTTATTTGTTTTAGCTGCAGATTTGCTCCAAACTATTATTAACATAGCTTGGAATATTGGCATTTTAAAGCACCCACTCAGTGACAGCTTTGGTGGAGATTTTCCCATTGTCCAATATGCAGATGACACTTTGCTCATCCTGCCAGCTGAAGCTAGAATCCTATTCAACTTAAAAGGCCTGCTCAGATCCTTCTCTGACTCTACTGGTTTGCATGTGAATTTTCAGAAATCCTTTTTAGTGCCTATTAACCTATCAGAGTCAAAAACTATTCACCTTGCCAATACTTTTGGATGTGCAGTAGGAACAATGCCTTTTGCCTATCTTGGGCTTCCCTTGGGCACAACTAAACTTACTCTGCAAGAATTCTCTCCTATGTTGAAAAGGATTGAAAGGAGACTCACTGGAATCAGCAAGTTCCTCGCCTATCATGGAAGACTTACTCTGGTTAATTCTGTACTCTCAGCCCTGCCAACATTCTACATGTGCACTTTACAACTCCCCCCACAGATCATCAAGCAAATAGACAGCTACAGAAAGAAGTGTCTTTGGAATGGAGGTGAGATAAATAGAAAAGGCAACTGTCTGACAGCATGGGAAGCAGCCTGCAGATCACAAAAGGAAGGAGAATTGGGTATCATTGATCTAAAAACTCAGAACTCAGCCCTTCTAAAATATTTGGATAAGTTCTACAACTCAGCAGCTGACCTGGTTGAAATTATATGGTAATCATCAAACCCCACCCTAGATGCCCAACTGGGTCCTTCTGGTGGAAGGATATTTTAAAGCTGTTTGAAAAATTCAAATCCTTCTCTGTTGTGTGCCCAATAAAGGCAATACTGCTCTATTATGGCTTGAAAATTGGTCTGGTAACACCCTGAAGAACAGGTTCCCACAGTTGTTCTCCTTTGCCAAAAAACAGAAATGTTCTGTGCAATTCTTCATCAGTCAAGAAGTGAGTAGAATCTTCAGCATCCCTATGACTAGTCATGCAGCTTCACAACTAGCTGAATTGCAAGTGCTTTTAAATGACAGACATATGAATCCTGATATCAATGACACTTGGACCTATTCTTTGGGGGGCAAACTTTCATGCTAGGAAGGCTTAAAATCAGATGATGGGGTCTTTGGAGGCCTCACCTCTCTTTGACTGGCTATGGTCTTCTAGCAATTTAGGCAAACACAAATTCTTCTTTTGGCTACTTTTAAGAGATCAACTAAACACTAGAAATATCCTCAGAAGGAAGAACAGGGATTTGGATGATTACAATTGTGTGCTTTTGCAACAGTGGCTGTGAAGAAACCCTCCTCCATCTTTTCTTCTCATGTCCCTTCAGCCAGGACTGCTGGAATACCCTACACATCCATTGGAACTTGAATTTGGATCCCCTTGACATGGTAATTGAAGCTCGAACTACCTTTGGTCATTGCATTTTCAGAGAGATCTTGATTACAGCTTGCTGGATCATTTGGAAACTAGAAATGACATCATTTTTGACAATGGAGTTTGTAACCTCTCGGTTTGAAAGAGGCATTTCAAGGAGGAGCTTGGTCTGGTGTGTACCAATGCCAAGCCGGCTACAAAAGGACCTCTATCTGTTTGGCGAGACAATTACTCCTAATGTTTCTTTCTTTTCTCTTTTTTGGGCCTGGCTGCCTTGTAAGTTTTGTAACCTTTGTACATACCTGTTTCTTTGCTGTTTGTACATTTCCTTATATGAAAATGAAAAAATATAGGTAGGGGGCTCCCCTGCTGAATTGTTCAAAATATATTTTGGCCATCTTATACTGCCTGTCATCATTTCTTTCATGCCCATAATGCCAGGAAAGTATGGCCTTATAAAGATATCACAATTTGAATGTTTACATGATTCTAGATAAGCAATTGAATGTTAGCGATTGCACATGTATTACGTTTTGCTAATGCTAACTAGGTTTTGAATACAGGAAGCACTCAGGAATCAGGACGTATTTGTGTTATAACATTTATAACCTTAAACCATGTGTAAAAAGGTAGCAAGCCTCCAAAATCCATATAGAATCTTGTTTTCCTAGAAGTGGAATACCAATAATGTGTTCCCAAGTAGCATACAAAATGCAAAATTTTGAAATGGTCAAAACTTTGTACCTTGATAGTCATCAGCTTTCAGACTGTTAGCCCACATACCTGCAAGATTAATAGGATAGAAAGTAGCACGGTAAATGATGATGTGGCAAAGCCTTCTATACACAAGTATATACATGAAAGGTAGAACAACAAGAAAAGAAGTAACAAATAACAAAGGACAAAATGATGAAATGTGTAATGTAAAGGTCAAAGCAATTCCCATCTACTATATCTTTTTACCTTGTAAAACTGACTAGTTAAATCAAAGTTGGATATACTTTATAACCAGGGTGGAGCCAGAAATGGACTATGCCCCCACTCCCCCAAGGCCTATCTAGTGCTAGGCGGACTTAAATCCTTTGAACCATAGACATCTGTACATTTTTTAGTGGTTTTCTATTGCTATTGTTAAACTGCCTTGGACCAGGCTAAAGCCCAGGCAGCCTCGGGCTTTGCTCTATCACTGTTTATAACACCACAGATAACATGTGCTACATGATCCATATGGATCGTTTTCAGAGGCAAAACTAGATGGTTGCTGGCTTGTTTCAAGTATTACAAGCTAAGTGGAAAAAAATGAGGCATTTGAAGCATTCAGCGACTAATAACAAAACAAAAAAGTAACAACGAGCGTTCAGAGGTTCATAGATTAACCATGCCCCTGAACTAGCAACCATGATTCATTATGGCCATAAGCTGAAAAAATAACTACTCTCCCCAGCTCAAACTACAAAGCCGTCGTTCGTTTGCACTATCCCTTCATCCCTTGGCAGCAATATCTAAAAGGAAATTCACAAGTTATCATGGTGATCCGGGGTCAGACATCCTCTGCGTGACGCGTCGAGATACTAGAACCAACAGGCGATTCAACGCTATAGTAGAACCTACGGGCGATTCCACGCGCAACAAAGCTTGAGGATCCCATACAGGTCGAAGCAGAGCGAATCAGTTTCATCGGACGGGGTTCGGAAATCGGTACCGTGGGAGATGCTCGTGGACCCGGAGGATCGGCAGTAGCCGCAGGTTGTGCGGCGCCGGCCGTAGTCAATCACCACCGACTCACTCCCGTTCTGCGCCCCGCCGCTGCTGCTTGCGCCGTCGGCCATCGCGCGGCGGCGGGCTGCCTCGTCGCCGCGCCGGAGCGATGAGGACGAGTTTGGGTTTAGCGGGCTCGGGCGATGTGGCCGGGCGAATCAACTGCTGCTGGGTCCCTGGATCTGGATGGGCCGTGGGGCTAGCTGTAAAATAGGGCTCGGCCACTCGCGACTCTCCCCATCTTCGTCGACATTGAGAAATGTTGACATATACTATGTATTTAAACCTTATAATGCGTATGTTTCACTTTTCTTAATACTCATACTTTCAGTTCACTTACCTTTTTAAAAAAAATATCTGGATTGCTATTATTCAGGTGCCTGTCTTTTTGCAAACCATCAGGCGACGTTGCTAGCATGGGTGATGCTTATCTCGTTGCTACGTAAGCTTTGCAGCAAAAAAGCAGCAGGCAGTGTATGAACTAGTCGCCTGAGATTTCAGGCGACTGAAGACTAGCAAATGTGAAAAAATATACCTCCAGACTTTTGAATTCTTTTGATTTAGGGATTTTTCTTACTCCTCTTTTCTCTTGCAAAACATATGTGGACTAGCGTACTCTCTTCGTCCTAAAACAAATGTCATCCTCATTTTCTAAGAAGTCAAACGGTTTTAACTTTGACTAAATATACGCACTCCCTCCATCCTAAATTAACTGTTGTTTTGGGTTTCCGTGCCATAAGTTTGACTATATTTATAGAAAATACGTGTAACATTTTCATCTCTAAATAAATTTATTATAAAAATAGATTCAACGATCTATCTAATAATATTAATTGTGTATCATAAATGTTAATATTTTTTATATAAAATTAGTCAAAGTTATTTCTCGGAAAGCGAGAACGATAATTATTTTGGGACGGTGGGAGTATGAAATTATTAATATGTATGACGCATAATAAGTATCATTAGATTAATTATAATAAACTTATTTTAAGGTACAAATATTATAAATTTTTTATAAATCTTAGTTAAACTCGAGAAAGTTTAACCTACACCGAACCCAAAGCAGCACTTAGCGGGGGAGTACTTATCAAATCCAATTGGTCCTTTTGGCTCCACACACGGCCTTTCCCATCTGCCGCTCTATTCACTAAAGCCACCTCTTCTCCCCCATCGAAACTTCTCCCTAGGCGACAGCGGTTTGTCATACGTCCGTAGGAAGAGGCAAGCCAACCTCTAGACTAGAGGTGCCATCATCGATCGGGCATGTCAACGGATGGGGCACCCAAATCGGGTGGACGCGCATTGGGTGGGATGTTGAGCCAGACCCAACGGCGTCAAGCTAAGGCGACAGCGGGCGGGGCAGCGAATCCGACGTGGGGCGACATTGGACGTGGGATCGGGCGCCATTGGGCACGAGCGCTGATGGGAGCGGGAGTGCCCGATCATCCATCAAACTGGGACAATTATCGATTTGATGGAGGCTTGACATACTGATTCGGTTTTCGATGATCACAAACATCTGAACCTTCTCTGGTTATTAACCATGCACTGCATGACTAACTCACCATAAAGGTTAATCCCTGCGAATTTTCGACCACAACTAATAGTAGATTATTTATAATAACAGGTTCTTATATCTGCTAAGATACAGCACCTTTGGAAAACGAACATATTATATACATACAATACCACAATGCCAGCAGCTTTAGAGAATCTTAGAGTGCAAAGCCTTTTCCGTGAACATCCATAAGGCAGTCTCCTCAGGGGTCAAAACAGATTATCCTGGAAAGCAACACCATTGCATCCGAATGGCGACATACGAACATTAGACATATAGCAATTGATTATGCCTTTTCATGTTGTATCCATTTTGAAGCCCAGGCTCATCATCAGCTGCTGCAGGGCCTTCCAACCCCAAAGCAAATCATGTTCATAAGCAGTGGCCAACCCATTCTCAACCGGAACACCATCCTCAGACAAGATATTATCTCCTCCAGTTTTTTCAGCATAATTCTCATCAGTACTCGAAATACTGCTGTTCTTCATGTTTTCTTTTCCAAGAAGTTCGTCTAGAATTTCCATTTCCTCCTGCAGCATTGACTGATCAAGTAAAAGATAAGGCTCATCGAATGAGAAATAGACTTAACATGGACCATTGAACTATTAAACATAGCCATTGGATTGAGGGTTTTTTTTCCACCCCAGGAAACCCCTGAATTGTGCACTTCTCACCCCTTCCTTCCTCCTATTAACAATAGATAAACTTTCAGTTCCAATTATTTTTCCCTAAACTTAGCAAGGAACTACCAAATTAGTGCGCAGTTGTTAATACACCTCAACTATTATCAGCGTGGTCCCTTGTAAATGCATTACCACTCTCTCCAGAAGCTAATAGATGCTTCATATAGCACGCATAGAATGTACACTGAACTACTTATAGACAGCGGAATAATAGTTGAGTGGTAATGCATACAGATATGTATATAAAAAGACTTCTGGAATTGAACTGTGTTTGCTCTATGTCATGTGAAAAAGGTGTTGATTAAACAGGTTACCTTTTGAAGGTTAGCTTCGTTTCTCTTCACCCAATCTACTTGAACAGAAGCATCTGTGCCAACCGCTGGCTCCTTGTCCTCCTTGGCAACAACAGATTCATCTTCTTTGACTCGATTATCATCCGCTTGGAGCTCATCCTCTAAAACAGTATCCTTTCTGCTTTTGCTGTCATTTGAAACAACAGTTTGCTCTATCCCAGTAGACGCCACTCCCTCCTCTTCTGCTATTCTCTGATTCTTCACATCATCCCAATCTTCAAACACAACCAATGTGTTTGCGGTTTCACCTGTCTGAAAGCTTCTGTTCGGCCCATCCTGCCAATGCAACTTCCCTGTGGAATCTTGCAGCAAGAACTTGAACTCAATCGGTTTGTTGGCCGGTAAATCCTGGTCATCAAAACAGGATAGACAAAAAAGGTGACGTCGTCACTTCAGAAGCACGCAGATCATCACACACGATGCGCATGCGCACGAAACGAGGCTCACTTTCTCTAAGATCCAGTCGTGGCTTTCCTCCGCCCACTTCAAAGCAAACGCATTCAACGGATCCCAGAGGCCGAGCGCAGGGTCGTCGCCGACGAGGCAGACGCTCTGGCCGGACGTGCACTGCTTTTGCAGTACAAATCGGACACGCACCGTCTTACCTGGAACCGGGAGTGGGGCAAAAAACATGAAGGGCGCAGTAAAAAGTAAGGATCCATCATTCGGATCAAACAGATTTAGAAGTTTCGCACCATCGCCGCCGACTTACCCAGTTGGGGAGACGAGGTTTCAGCAGCCGCCGCTGCCGCCGCAGCGTCATTCGCATGGATCTCCGCCTCGTCAGCCTGCATAAAAAACTCCCCAAAACATCAGGGCATCACAGTGCGCCGCCGAGAACGAAGAACGCGCGCGCGCGATTCCGGTCTGACGCGACTCACCTGGGTGGTCGCCACCGCCACGGCGCCGCCCTCCTGCACGCGCGACGGGAGCGGCTCGAGGTGCTCCTGGTGGTGGGAGGCTACGGCGACGAGCGCCCTCCGCCGGGCGCGCGCGGCGGCGGGGCCAGCGCCCACGACGCGGCGCGCCCCGCGCGCGCCCCCGTAGACGAGCGCGGACCGGGCCCGCGCGAGCGACGCGCTGCGGACGGCCGCCGTTGCGGATTCCATGGGTGGCGATCCCAGTGTTGTCGCCCCTGCCGGCCTAAAACCCTGTGCGCACTGCGGCACTGGAGGTGACAGGCGCTTTCGCACTGCGCAGGGCAGGGCAGGACTCTTGCCTCTTGGCCGCGCCCGTGATGCGATGCCGTGCTCGCCGGCTGCGCGGTCCCGTGGGTGGCGTTCACCGGTAGGCCACGGCCGCACGGGGGACCCGTGGGGGTTTGGTTTGCGGTGACGAATTGGGGGGAGATGGCGACGAGACGACTGACGAGTGCGAGCGCGGCACAGTGAGGCGACGTTCGGCGTGGGGGCGGGATGAGCTGTGCGGCACTGCGGCTGGATCCTCGTCGTCGGTCGTCTGCCGTTGGATCTCGCGCCGCGCGTGGGCAGGAGGGCGTTTCGGTTTTCGTGACTCGGGGGGAAGCTCTCGGAGTCTCGCTCCTGCCGCCACGTTACGTGGCCGGTGACCCCTTGCGTTGCGCTACGGATCTCGCGGGCCGCGGCGCCAGCAACTTGCCGGGCTGGATCGCTGTACTCGCTTTGCCGTGCCGTTACGTGGCTCTTGACGTTTTCCGCACCGCAGGCCAGCCGTGTTTTTAGCTTTGGCCAAAGGCCCCCCGCCGTGTTTTACACGTTTACTCACGGGACGGGAGTGTATGATTGGACGAGCTGTGAAAACAGGGGCATGGCAAAGGTGGATTCAGAGCCAATGTGAAAACAACTGGATTCAGCAATCAGCAGCTGTATTTTGTACAGTAATGTAGTACTACAGGATAGGATAGAGCAGACAGAGCAAGGCATTGCGAAGGGGGGAAATGCTGCTTGACTAGATAACAGCTACCGACAAGGAAGTTGGACTTGGCCAAGCTTATAAACCGTCCTTTTTTTATGCCTGGAAGCGACCATTCTGGGTTTATAAAACAAGGTACGATCCATGGTAGTGTCGCGTATAGTAAGACCTAATGCAGGGTGCACAGCCAAACGAAGCACAAGCGTGTTCAACCTCAACGAAGGCTTGAATGGCATGATGATACTGGTAACGTTTAAGCAGTGGTGATTATAGAGCAAAGGCAAACGGGGAACATACGATTAATGAAAATCATGAACATATGGCTCTATTTGGTAATTTAGCACGCATAGGCAGTGGCGGAGCTTGGACAAGAAAAAGAGACGGGGCAGCTGATATGAAACGCAAAGGGAATGGATTCCTCTTTGGATGCCTAAGCTTTTTTAAATTAAGTTTTGAGTTGGAACTTGGACGCTTGTGTTTTTTTTATTTATAATAATTGGTCTGATTCTCTTGTTCTCAAGAGATAAAGCCGGATTCATTTCCTTTATCTAAAAAAGATCTATTAAAAAGAATTAGATAGACTCCCCTCCCCCGCCACCACCACACCCACCGCACCAAGCCACCCCTAATCCGGCGAAATAAGCGCGAATCCCACCAAGCACCCAATGGATCCAACGTCTGCGCTCCTGGATCTACAAGATGGTCTCGACGTAGTCAACCAACAAGTTTTGGAGGTCTCACGAAAAGTTCGCCATAGACGATGCCTCGTGCGGAGTTGGGGTGGCACCCGCTGCCTGCACGTGTGTGGCCACACCAGCTCGTAGGTAGCCACCTCGGCGCTGGAGATGTCGCCTGCTTCCTCTTCGCTCTCCCCATTCGCACCTCCATTCATTCTGGGGTGTCGCTCAGAGGACCGCCGCAAGTCTCGTCGTTGGGCTGAGGACTCCTTCGACTGTTCCAACGAGGACTACTCCGATGAGGAGAGCTCACCAAAGGCTCCCACCTATCTCGACGTCATTCGTCGGCAGCCCCGTCCGGCGTCGCCTCCGCCTGTGCAGCCACGACTATGCTCCGTCATGGTCTAGGGCCATGACGGCGCCGCCACGGGGACGCTCGGCCGAGACGGAGGCGACGAGGCGGTTGGGTGTAGCAAGCGTCGTCGCCCGCGTCCGCAGCTTATACATGGGCTATCTGTCTATAGCAGGAGCGATGGCGTCCGACACTTGCCGGTCCGTCAGAGGCTCGGGCCACGGGTGACCACCATCTCTCGGCGCCGCCTCTCCGCACGATGCTGATGGCTGGCAGAAGGTGCTGGCGTGCGAGCCTCCAGAAGGTTGCGCCGGACCAAGGACTGGTCCAACACGTCGGGAGAGGATGGGGCCGCCTAGGCGCATTCCGGAGGAGCTACACGACAAGTGCTTCAACTGCCTCTCCTCATCGCATCGGGTGGCGACCTGCAAGCTGCCTCCGCGCTGCCAACATTGCCGGCGCTTTCGGCACCTTGCACGTGACTGCAAGCGACCGTGCTTGATGGTTCCTGACAGCTTGGAGGCCACGGGAAACAACTGTAATCAAGCTCGTCGGTCCGGTCACGCGCATAGCGCCCCCCAACCTCGCACCTCCAGGGGCGGCAAAGAGTATAACGCTGTGGGTGTAGCTCCACCTGCTACCCATGGTGATACTGTCGCCGAAGCTATGACACCTACCTGCCCCGACGAGCCGCATCGTGATGTGATGCCCACATGGATCTTTTTTGGATTCAATCCATTGATGGTGTCGCTGCGCCTGGACGGACATGCTGGTCGGGACATAGCGGATGATCGGATGTTGCTGGAGCTCATCGCCTCACTCCCTATCATCCGGACAGATGGAGCCTCGGCAATGGGGCATCCGTCTCCTGTGCGGGTTGTTGCTGCTTACTCGGAGGACGAAGCACCAAGATTGTTTTCTTCACTAGCGTAGCTGTGGGTCGCCGCATGGGGATGGGCCGACTATGGATCTTTTGGTGGATAATGGTATGATATCCTCTTTCATAGAGGCCTTCAAGCAGCCGCTTCAGCAGCCGCTGATTGCGTCCCTGCTTAGGCTGCACATCAAAAGGATCCCAATGCTGCTGATGATGATGACATTGTCCCCAAACGCAGCGCCCATTTAGCTGCTAAAAACAAGTTTAGAGCACTGAAGCCAGAGGCCCAGGCAAGAAAGGCCCTCACGAAAAAGCTCAGGCTTCAGGTCGAGACGGAGAAGGCTGATTAGGTGTCCTTCAAATAATTTCAACAAACTTTTGGCCCGACGTTGTCCCCTACGAAAGCCTTAGTTTGGTTTTGGATAATTGATGAAACATAGCACTAACCTTTGTCATGAGTTGTGATATGAGTTAGGTTGGTGCAATCCAAGTGGTTGAGCAAGATGAAGTCCGTGGCGATGAAAGTGGACATGAAATTGATGATGATGATCAAGCTCAACTTGGAAAAGAAGAAATAGAAAAACAAAACAAGGTTGATCAAGGTAAAGATATCAAATATATTTTTGTTTTGCACTCAAGACACCATAGAGGGTGTGAGTGACTTATGATCGATAGCCGTACTATAAAGATGGGAATTCTTTGGCTAAATGGTTTATCAAGTGCACTAGGTGACATGACTTTTGCATATGCAATTAGGAACCTAGTGTGCTAACTTTGACCCCTTGTAAAATGATTTAAAAAATGCTAACACACGTGCACACAAGTTCTACACTTTGTGGTTAGCAACTTGAAAGCAAAGGCGAAGAGGTTGTGGACTTAGAAAAAGAAAAGGAGGAGACAGTCCATGACCGGACGCTGGCCGCGGGGTGACCAGAGTCACCCCGGCGCGTCCGATCATTTATAGCGTGCGGCGTTGCTCTGGCCAAGAGTGAGGTGGAAGGATCGGATGCTGTCTCGGGACTAACAGGCATGTTCGGTCACTTGTTGGAAGTCGGCACTATGGCGCGATCGGACGCGCAGGCCTCGCGTCAGGTGCGTGCTGACATACGCTGATGACAGCCTCGAGCGAGTGCACGTAGGAGAGCTATATTGACCGGACGCACGAGCGCGTCGGGTTGCCTCTGAGCTGACGCGTCCGGTCAAGAATAACTCGCTGTGGACCCTTACTATAAGTGATCGGACACGGGAGGCTTTGGCGTCAGGTGACGCAGCAGCGCGTCCGGTCGATCATTAACAGCGCGTGCAATCAGTAGATGATCGTTGAGATCTAGCGGCTCTAGTTCAAACGGGGGACGCGTGGCAGCCATCGGGTGACCGGACTCACCCGACCGGATGCAGGGTTGCGTTCAGTCAGCCCACGGCAGACCAACGGCTCTATTTCGAGGGGCCGCCTATTTAAGTGGTTTGGTCAGCTTGGGGCTCATTCTCTTGGCACTTTGACATACTTGACATCCTTGTGAGTCTAAGCAAACACCTACCACTCATCTCCATCATTGATTCACCATCATAGTGAGATTGGGAGTGATTCCAAGTGCATTAGCTTGAGTGATTGCATCTAGTGGCACTTGGGGATCGTTGTGGCTGTAGATTTCTTGTTTTTCTTGGTGGTTGCCGCCACCTAGATGGCTTGGAGCAGTAGAGGAGATTAGGCATGAGTTGGTGATTATTCGTGGCTGGCTCGGGTGATTATGAGGGGTCATGCACCTTCCCTAGCAAAGAGCCTCAAGGTAGCTCTAGTAAATTGCTCATGTCATTGGGTAACCTCACTTGTGGATAGGTTCTTGCGGTGCCTCTTGTGGTGAGCTAGGTATGTGATACCTATTAGCCGCCGAACCACAAGTGTTGGTCAACACAATGGAGACTAGCGCGCCAGCAAGCATGTGAATCTCATGAGAAAAATTGGTTGTCTCTTGCCCTTTGGTATTCTCCCGGTGATTGAATTGGTATTCATCTTGTGATTGGTTCACTCCTCTACGCGGTGGTATAATCACCCTACTCACTCATTTATATTTCCACAAACTAGTTGTAGTAAGCTGTTTAGTGTAGCTAGAATTAAGAGCTTGCTTTCTAGCTTAAGTTCATCTAGTGGAGCTCTTTAGTGTAGCAAGTTTGAGAGCTCTTAGTGAGTAGCAACATAGTGTAACACCCTTGATGTTACCCCTTTAATCATCTACTAAAACATGTATTAAGCATCATACTTGTGTGTTAATGCATGTGATGAAGTGTGTAGATCAATTTCTGTAACTCAAAATG